TCTGTTTTATGGATTCCATTTGTTTCCTATGTTGGGATTCCATCATGTTCCTGAGCTCCTCTCTAGATTTATTAATAATGTCTTGCACTATGAGCACAATCTCTGCTGTTATCTGAGAAATTATTTGATTTCATTTTTTTCCAGATTCTCTTTTGTTGCCAGTTCAGGGAATCCAGGTGGTTGAGTATCAGAGTGTTCCATCTCATTTCCCTTTGGGGTTGCCGTAGGTGATCTGGAAGTCTGTTTTTGAGACTTATTTATGTGTCTTCTCATTTCGACGGGGGTGGGGTGGGGTTGCTGCTGGTGGGGGTGGTATGGCGGCCCGGAAGCCTCCTCTTGTGCGCTGGGAACAGCTCACCTCCTCTGTGACTCATCCAGCCCCAGCTGATAGGCCAGGTTCTGTAGGCCTCCTACCTTCTTCATCAAATTAGCTGTCATGAGGCTCCCCAGTTCTTTTAACATATCAATGTCATATCGTTCTATTTCAGCCATCCACTTAGGTGGAGAACTAGTAATAGGACTTTTGAAGGAAGCTTCAAATTCAGAAACACCTGGCAATTGTTCTGGCCAAAGATCTGGTGAGGCACGATCAAGTTTTTCAAAACTTAGCAAAGATGCTTCCAAATCTGTCCCGTCAATGGGAGACGCCATCTTCCAACCCATATCACGTGAGGTGGCCAACCCGGGGCAGGAAAGTGAGACTCCATAAGCCACGCCCTGAAAGAGATAGCCTATCCCCAACTCACACTGCTATCTCGTTTCCCCGCCCCTCAGGGCAATATTTGCCTAGCACTGCCCTGATAGCCACGCCCACTGCATGGTTGTTAAGGTGGACTCTGGGGAACTTTAAAAACTCTCCATGCTAGAAATTTTTTTTTTTAATTGTTTGGGTTTTTTGGGGTTTTTTTTGTACCAGGGAGTGAACTCCGGACCTTGTGCTTATAAGGCAGGTGGCGGAACCACTGAGCTAAATCCAGAGCTGTGCCAGAAAATTTTGATGGGGGATGTCAGTAAATGATGTTCTTCATCTCTTAGGACCTCAGCAGGTGGGCTCAGGAACCCACAGACTTTTTTGTTTGTTTGTTTGTTAAAAACCAATTTGTAACCAGGCATCAGCCCCAATCAGAAGCACTCCAGTGGGAAACCAGGGTTCCAGACAGGGTCCCGCAGCCCTGCCCAGTTGTTCCCACAATCCTCTAGGGTCCTTAACCCAAATCAATCTGAGCAGTCCTGGGTACCAGCCCCTCAATTGTGGGACACACCCAGCACGTACCAGGGAACAGCACAGGTCAGCTCCGGCCCAGATGGGCACCTCTGTCCTTGGCCAGTGGATGCTCTGGCCTGGCACATGGTACCCGTGAGGGGCTGTACATCTCTCTGGATGTAGAGCAGGCCAGTGGACACACTGGCACGACATCCCATGGGGTGACACCACCCTTCCCTCCATCAGCCCGGGGCGCAGAGCCACCCTCTTCCCATCCACTCCTAGCACAGGGAGAGGTACAAGGTAAGGATTTTCCTCAAAGCCCCAAACCACAAGTCCAGAATAAATAACTTAAAAGTGGTGCAGGAGGGGACAGGGCAGCTTGGAGGCTGGGACAGAGCAGGACGAGTGGTCCAGGGGAAGGTGGCAAGCAGCAGGCACAGGGGACATGGGGCCACCCCAGGAGGGTGAGGCTGCGCCCTTCCCAGGGCAGGGAATGAGGTAAGAAAACATTTCAAATAAAGCAGCACTGGCCTCTCCCCGCCACCGCAGGGTGGGATCTGAGGGATGGCGGGGTCCCGGTGACAGCTCACCCCACCCTGCACTCCCCTTTCTGTTCCTTGAAGCTTCAAGGCTGTGGCCCTCTCCTGGCACCGAAGGACAAGGGATAGCTCCAGCCACCCGGGAACCCTTGGAGATGGAGGGGCTGCCCTGGGGCAGGGAGGCAGTGCAGTTCTGGGTACCGCTTGGCAGCCGGCCACCGGTGCCCACCAGACAGGCAGCACAACTCTGCACCCGGCCCGCCTTGGCCAGCCCAGACCCCTTCACATTGCCTTGGGCCTCCGAGGGGTGAGGTCCAGTTCCTGGGGTGGGGCAGGGAGCACGGGGCAGTGGCCAGGCCAGTAACTCACAGAATAAATAGGAAAACCGCCTCCCATCAAACGGTGTCCAAGGCGATGGTGCCCAGGTCTGAGGCCTGCACACCGAGGCTGGCTCCACTGCAGAGGACTCCGGCACGCTCCAGGGGCGCACACGCAGACCCTCCACCTGCCTGGTCCCCTGTGCTCGCCAAGCGGTGCTGCCAGCGAAGGTCAGAGGCTCTGCTCACCCAAAGGCCATCCCTGTGCCCCCATCAGTTGATGTCATCGTAGATGCTGGGCGTCAGGGGTGCCGGGGGCTTTGGCTTCTTCTTGCTGGAGCCCAGGGCAGATGCGGCCCCCACCAGACTCAGGTGCGACTTCTTCTTCTTGGTTTTCCAGGACTCGGAGCTGTTGGTTCCTAGGCCCCAGCCCTGGTTTTCACTGATCTTGGAGGAACCTGAATCGGAGGGCAAGTGATTGGAGGAGCTATCCCCCTGCAGCTGGCTGAGGAGCGCCTGGCTGTCGGACATGTCAAAACCCTCGTTGTCCAGCGCGCTCTCCACCTCTGGGAGGACAGCTGAGGGCCAAGAAAGTAAATCCGCATGGTCCTCCTCTGCTCGTCTGTGTGCTGGGGACAGTGCAGGGACCTGTGCACATCTTCTTGGTGTGAGGAACCCACAGACTTGTGGACCGAAGTGTGACATCCATGGAGTGGTTGTGAGTGCTAGAGGTGAGCAGCCATTAGAGTAGTGTAAAATGCAGGTAAGATAAGAGGTCGGTAGCACACACCTGTAACCCTGGCATTCTGGAAGGCTGAGACAGGAGGAATGCAAGTTTTAGCCCAGCCTGGGGAACTTGTGAGTTTTCAAAAGAAAATGGGAGGCGCATGAGGATGTAGCCCAGTGCAAAGGCCCTGAATTCATTTCCCAGTATCACCCAAAAAGAAAAGCGAGCAAGCTGGGAAGGATCTAGGAGACACGGGTTGTAGAATCTCTTTTAAGATTCTGAGTTGAGTCAGCAGTGGTGTGGTAACAACACACACAAGGAACATTCCCATGGGCTTAGTGAGAGTCAGTTCCACTGGGCATAAAGAAGGGCCAGGGAGCCTTTGGGTGTCAGGTGGCCTTGGCACCGAGAAGCTCTGACTGGAGAAAATGGTGACATGGGCATGGGAATTTGCAGGGACTCTGGTCCTGGGGCACCGAGGGCTGTCCTGATGTAGGGATCTTGCAGTGAACGAAACAGAGGGAGACGGAACCCAGGACCTTTGCACTGAATGACACCAGCTCTAATTTTTGCTTTGATAAAAGTTTCACTATATCACTGAGTTGCCCAGGCTAGGCTTGAATTTGGGACCCTCCTGCCTCCCAGAGTGGTGGGATTTACAGGTGTAACCCACGCCAATTGGTTTTCCTTTCTTGCTTGCTTTTACATGTGTGTTGCCATGTCACACCTGCTAGCCATGGAGCTACTTATGTTCATCATCCTTATATTATCTCTGCTTCCAGTATTCTTTTTTTTCCTCTTTTCAAAAGCCAAGGCATTAGTGTGAGCAGAATTAGTTTTCAGTCTGGGGAGTGAGGTTCAAAGTTACACGAGTCCTTCCTCCAGAGACTTCTGAATTCTGTGGCATTAATACTGAAAAGATGAAAACGTTCGTGTCCTCCTTTCTGGAAGTGTGGGGAGTTGATGCCCAAGGGGATAGGTGGCAGGAACATCAAGGCAAACACTGGGCATTAAACTGGAAGCCCAGATGAGCAAAAACTCACCAGCCCAGGGTACCATGAAGCAGTGAGAGCATGAAGCCAGCCGAGGTACAGTCCCAGCACCTACCTGGCCAGGGAGAGGTTGGAACCCTATGGGCCAGGGGAACTTATTCCTCTATTCGAAGCTTGAGCCTCCTGTGCCTGCCGAATCCACGTAGTGTGGATAAACTTTAAGCTAGGACACAGCCCCGGCTGGGGATCAGGGTGGCGGAGGCCCCACGCGTACACCAGGTGCGGAGAGGCTTTGTGCACTCCAGGGACAAGGTGAGGGGGTGCTGCAGCCACTGCCGTCCAGAGCCAGCCCAGTGGGACAGAAGCTCTTCAAGTGCTCGAAATTCGAGAAAAGCTGCTCACACCGGTCATGGCTGATGGAGCATGCACCCTCAAACAAGGGCAAGCAGCAGACTGGGTCAGGACCTTCTCTTCCGCCACCACCAGATCCACACCAGGGACAAGCTGCACAGGTGACTGCAACAGGGAGAGAGAGGGAGGTGAACTGCCCAACTCAGAGCCAGCAGGATAATGGTGCCTGCGTACAGTGATACATTGTTACCTGATATACTTGATGGTGAAGGGTATCTCTGTGAACTGTGGATATGAAGCATTAAAATAGAATAAATTAAATCACCAAGACAGCAGATCTCATAAGCAGATCAGAACTATTCCAGATGGTACATCGGGTTATTTATGCTCCTGAGTTTGCCGCCAAAACAGAATATTTATTTTTGAGTTCCACTGGTTTACTGAATTTGTAGACCTACACACCAAATATATAGAATAATATATATATCAAGACTTTATGTTAAACAATACCCTCTGTCTTTGAATTAATAATGGGAACAGTAGGAATTTATTGAGTAGAAGTCCATAGATGGTACCACCTATTATATCAGAGCCCCTGGATGGAAGCTAATGATTTCATGACATCTTCTGATCTCTCTCGATCAACTAGCTAAAAGTTATGTATTAAATGTGTGAGCTTGGGTCTCCCTTTCTGGCAATGTGGTAGATGGTCTAAAGCAAAACAATTTACTATAAACAACTAGAAATGATGGACAATAAAAGCTAACATTCTTTTAAATGCATAATTTGCCTCTCACTCACTTTGCAGATGCTAGCTGTGTAGAGGCAACCAAACACCAGTTGATCCTGAGCTACAGCAAGGGTGCAGCCCAGAACCTTGCATGTCAAGGACTACAGGTTGAGGCTTTGAGGCCACACAGGGCAGACAGTTGGCAGTGACACAATTCAAATCCAGGATTCTCCAAAGTCTGTGTAGAGAGGAAGGGAAGATAGATGGAAAGCTTGTCCCTCTCTCCCTGGGCATGTGTAAACACGAGCTTACCACGAGGAGTCCAACACTGAGCTATGTTTTGCCTGAGTTTTGAACTGGCCCTATTCATATCCTGGTTGAAAAACAGAGCAATTAGTATAAAAGGGTGCTGTGGTCTTTGAAACAACTTATAGAAGCAAAGAGGTGTTCTGGGGAGATGACCCTTGGAGCGAGGTGTCTCAGGATTCCCACGCAAAATCTTGTGTGTGCTACAGCAGGTCCTGGACCTTTCTGTACCTTCTAGTTGTTCTGTGAACCTAAAACTTCTCTGCACATAGTCTTCAAAGGAAAAACATAGTCCTAAATCTCACCTAGTGGAGATCACTTCCCTTTTACCTACAGGATTTGGGGAGGAGTCTGAGATTTCTGTTTCTGGTGCTGGAGAAGCAGAAGGCAAGGTTGGAGGTGATGTGGAAAGACCTCTCGAGAGACTTGTGCAGTCTCACCCAGCCAGGTACTGTTTGCCCCCGGTTCTAAGTCAGCACTCACAGAGGCACAGTCTCTAGCCAGAAGTGTGGGGAAGCAGAATTTACCTGTGCTTATGCTGCCTTAAGACTTTTAGGCTCTTCAGGGGATAGTTTTAGGCTGAGGATAGTCATTAGTCACATCTTAGGGAAAAGTTCCACGGAATTTTGAATCCTGGGCTTGGGGGCTTTCAGGTTTTCTGAATACCATTATTTATACCAAGTTAAAAACCTATTTTCAGGGCACCTTGGCATCAGTAAGTTGGGCCCAGCAACTGCCAACCTACTTGGTTCCTCACAGCCAGTTCTGACATGCTTAGAATAAAAGACTCCAGGGGCTGGGCAGGGTGGCACACACCTATAGTCTTATTCCTCTGGGAGGCTGAGGCTGATGGCTGGCAAGTTTGAGCCCACCATGGGCAATTTAGCGAGATCTATCTCGATAAAAAGGGCAGGGGATGTAGTTCAGGGTGAAGGCCCTGGGCTTAATCCCCAGTACAAAGACAATGGGGGAGTGAAGAAAGGATGCAGAAAGAAAGGAAGAGAGAAAGGCTACAAGGGACAGGTTCTTGTTCTCAGTAGGGTTCCAGGGCTATGTCCCAAGGGGCCCAATATTTAAAGCCCCCCAAATAACCCAGGGTTTTTCCATGGTTTAGTCCTCCATTAGATATTAAGAACTTCAAGTTCATGGATCTTGAAACATAAGGAGAGAGCCTGAAAACTTGTCCTTAAAGAGCTCACACTCTAATTGTGGGTGGGTGGTCACAGAAGCAAAGGCTGAAATTCATTTTAGAGTACAGTGGTTATAATGGAAGGCCAGGTACCCAGGAGGGGTTCACAGAGGAAACAGTACCAGGGCAGATCCTAGAGTCACAGGGATTTTCACAAGAGAACTGGGAGCACCACAGCCACCTAACAGCACGACAGAGGCAGGAGTGGGCAAAGCTTGCTGCATCTTGTAACTAGTTGGAATCAGGTGTAGCTTATTTTACACACCTTAGAGGACACAAGCCTTCACAGTGTGCATCTTGATAAAGGTCTGCCCACCTACATACCCCTGTAATTCCCACCCAAACCAAGAGACAGGACTCTTCAAGTACCCAGGTGATCTCTCCATCCTCCCTGCCAGCTCAAACCCAGGTGACGATTCTTAAGACATCAGCCACCATCAATTAGTTTGTCATTGCCCTTTGGATGGAACTGCACGGTAAGGATTCTCTGGGTCTTGCTTCTTGGACACCACAGCTATAACTTTGTCTTTTTCAGCTGGTAGCTGTGGTTCATTCTTTTTTACAGCTGTGTAGTACAGTGGTACCTTGATTCACAAACTTCATTCCACAATTCTGGGGAAGATGGCCATGTTTGTGTTCATCACCCAATCCAGTGTTCTCGAATGGAAGCATTCATGAACTGAAGCATTACTGTATTTTATTGTGTGAATATGCCACAAGTTCTTTTTCTTTTTGGTACTGGGGATTGAACTCAGGACCTTGTGCTTGCAAGGCAAGCAGAGGCACCACTGAGCTAAATCCCTGGCCCCACAAGTTCTTACTTAGTGCGCATTTGTGCACATTATTTTCCAGTCTTTGCCTATAAATGCTTCTGAAAAATTGTACAGAAGTCCTTGTTTCTCTTCAGAAGATACTGTGTGGCTAGGTGTAGAGCAGCAGAAACCAGCAGTTATTTTCCCCTCAGGGAACCTGTGGGTAGTGTCCGGTGACTTCTTTTTTTCAATTTGAACCCAGGACCTCATGCATTGCTAGGCAAGCACTCTACCACTGAGCTACACCGTAGCCCTCCAGTGACATTTTTTGTCACATCTCAGGGGTGGCATCAAGTGAGCAGAGGCCTGAAGTACTGCTGCACATCCTACAGTGCATAGTGTCCCCCACAACAAAGAATTGTCTGGTTCAAAATGTCCACAGATACTGAGCTCTGTAGGAGCTGGATTTTGAGGTTCTTGGATGCCCTTCCCAAGTTTCTGTCCAGTGAGCCTGGGAGCCTCAGATGGCTCTGGAATGGAGAGGTTCCCATCAGGGGAAATCTCAGGAGCTGATGCCCAGTGTTAGGTAAGCTTAGCCTCGTGGGCCGTCCCTGGAGTCCTCTGGCTGATGGCTCGCTGCAGGGCACCCTGGATGTCCCGGTTGCGCAGTGTGTAAATGGCTGGGTACAGCAGCGGGGTGAGGTTGATGTAGATGAGCGACACCAGCTTGTCCTCCTCCAGGGAGCGGCTGCTCAGGGGCCTGGCATACATGGCCGTAGCACAGCCGTAGTGGAGCACGGCCACCGTGAGATGGGATGCCACCGTGTTGAAGGCCTTGCGGCGGCCTGCAGCATCCCCAACCCCCAGGATGACCACAAGCACCCTGGTGTAGGAGAGCAGTATCAGGAACAGGGGCAGCACCAGCAGCAGCAGGCAGGCCACCAGGAGCACATGTTCCTGCAGCTTCCGGTTCCCACAGGCCAGCACCAGCACAGCTGGGAGGTCGCAGAAGACGTGGTTGACAAGGCCACCATGGCAGAAGGGCAGCTGGAATATGGTGGTGGTGAGGCCTACAGCCAAGACCGAGCCGCCTGTGCAGCTACAGGCCAGAAGGGCCCAGCAGAGCCCTGCAGTCATTAGCTGAGGGTAGTAGAGTGGGTGGCAGATGGCCAGGTAGCGGTCCAGGGCCATGGCGGCCAGCAGCAGGCACTCGGAGCCACCCAGAGCCACAAAAAGGCCCATCTGGGCAGCACAGGTGGAGGGGGCCACAGCCTGGCCCCCAGGAGGCAGGAGGAAGCCGGCCAACATGCGTGGGGTGAGCACCAGTGTGTAGGCCACCTCCACGGCTGACAATGCACCCAGGAAGAAGTACATGGGTGTGTGTAGTGTGGGCTCAGCCAGGGCCAGGCCCAGGATGAGCAGGTTCCCCGCCAGGGTGGCCAGGTAGAGTGGCAGGAGCAGCCCAAAGAGCAGCACTCGGAGGCCTGGGGGCCACCCGGAGAAGCCCAGGATTATGAACTCCTGTGGGGCAGTCCAGTTGGACTCAGGCCAGGTGCTCCTGGTGGGCCCTGAGGGAGACAGGCACAAGGGCTTGGAGGGGAGTCAAGGGAACGCTTCTCTCCCAGGAAATGGGGCTGTAGCTCCTGACCCCAAGAACCTTAGGCCAGCCCTTGCTCCCAGGGCCTTCTCTGCTTCCCCCAAAGACTCATACTTTGCACCCGTCTCCTTTGGCTGTCCCAAGCCATTGTCCACCCTTCCTGCTTGCCTCTCACACCCTGTGTGATTCCAGGAGTCCCAGATTCTTCTTGAGCCCTGTGGCCCTGCCCTCTCAGTTCTCCCCAGCTCCTTCCCCTCTCCTTTTTAATTGGTACAAGGGATTGAACCCAGGGCCTCAGACTGTGCTACAACCCCAGGTCCTTTTTATAATTTTCTTGAGACAGAATCTTACTAAATTGATAAATTGCCTAGGCTAGCCTTGAACTTGAAATCCTCCTGCCTTAGCCTCCCAGAATGTTGAGATTACAGGCATGCACCACTGTGCCTGGCTTCTCTCCAGCCTTCTAAAGCCCTGGTCCATTTGGAAGAAGCCAGGTATCCTCTTTCCAGCTTATGTGCTGAGGATGAGGGGTTGAGCACCCAGGGTAGAAAGATGTCTGAAAGGGCTCAGGTTTCTCCCCAGGAACCTCTGTGCTGAGTATGTGGGCTGAGTGGCAGAGGGAGGTAGTCCTCAGCCACGAGGATTAAGGAGCTTGTGCAGAGCTAGACCCTTCTGTTGACAGAGGCACATGCGATACCTCTTCTCACTTGCCCAGGGTTGGGTTGTCTACATATTTTTACCATTTCTTCTCCTTAACTGGATGCAGGACAAGCCCTTGGTAATCCAGGGCCTGGCATTTCTGACTCTGCTATAAGGGAAAGACGAGGGAGGACAGTCTACCCTCTCACTGGGGAAATGGCCACCTTCAGCCATGAGAACTCTTACATCTGTCTCAAGACCCACTCCCTCCTCCTAGCTGCAGACCCGTGTGACTCAGTATCCCCCTAAGCATCCCTTTATGCTTCCACTTCTGCCTATGCCAAACTCAACCCATGATTTCAAGCCCAGACAGTGCTGCTTCTGCAAATGGAGCTGGCCCAGTCCTAAGACTGAACACCAGGAAGTCACATTCTGGGTGAGTTCTCTCTCCTGCAACAGGTACAACCAATGTTTGATTATCCATTAGCAGCAAAGTCCACCCCCCTTAAAGCGAAGCCACAAGGGCCTGCGCTAACACTGACCAAAAGCAGCCTGAGATAAAAGGGATTCCCCCAGTGAGAAGGGGCCTTCTGTGACCTTGTCCATTTGCGGCTTTGATACACAACCTCAGTTACGATGCCGGTGTTCCTGGGAGATTTACAAGGAACAGGAGGCCCAGGAAAATGCGTTTCTGAGATACTCTATTTGCTAACTCAGACTCCACATCTTCAATCTCTTATCAAAACTCTGACCACTCACTCTGATGGCACAATTCCTTTGTTGGAAGTTGGCCTACTGTCCCTCTTGATAGTGCTCTCTGATCTGAACAAACTCTTATCTCATTCCGATTTTGGTAAATTCCTAAAAACCACTGGCCCTCTCCATATGCCTTCTGGCACAGCCAAATGGACCTCATGTCCTCACGCTCTCCTCTCTTGTGTGATCCTTGATCACTGGGACCCATGCCTAGCAGGTCCTCTGGGCCCAGTTGGCCTCCTACTCACTTTCTCCAACCACTAACTAGCATGACCTTCCCTCAACTCCAGATACCAGTCACTCACTCTTAGGATTAATCCATGCTAGTTAGTACAGCACTGTCAGATCTTTGGAGTGTGGCTTCTGGCTTCCACTCATGCCTCTCCCCCCCGCATACCATGCTCACTTCCTGTGTGCATCATGTTTCACGCATTCTGGTCTCACTTCCGGGAATTCCCCCACAGCCCCTGCATTACCTACCAAGAAATGTTCCATTCATCATCCTTCGAGGTGCCTTCACATATCACCTCCTAGGTGATGACTTCTGTTCCCCTGGCAGGCTTGGTGTTCCCTCTGATCCTACAGTTGTTAAGGCAATGCCATTAAACTCAGTTTCCTGGAATCAAATGTTTGAGTTGTATTTATCTGAGTTGTTTGCTGACCTGTTGTAAATAAAGACATTAATTACTCAGTCCTCATTCCTCCCAGATTTGTGCTTCTTCTAGATGCCCCCAGTTGGTGTTTGTGACCCAAGTTTCTGGCCATGTAACTTCAGAGTCACAGCTCCCACCCTTTACCCCAGCTAATTGTTCCACATTCTGTTATATTCTTGTTTGTTTCGCAGTACTGGGGATCGAACCCATGGCCTTTGCACTGAGCTATGTCCCCAGCCCTTTTTTTGTTTTGTATTTTAAAACAGGCTCTAAGTTGCTAAGGTACCGAGACTGGGCTCAAACTTGTGATCCTCCTGCCTCAGCCCCCCAGAGTGCTGGGATTACAGGCGTGCACCATCATGTCTGACTCTTTGGTATTTATTATTAATGTTACGGTCAACCTCCAGTAGGGACACATAATCATCTTCATGGCAGGTACTTCCCCAAACCACTAGAATCATGCCCATCTCCCCACCCAGCCACCAAAGGTCATGTGTCAGCTAAAAGACACATTCCTCTCCGCTTTCTCTTCCCGTCCCCCAAGCCCTAGTATTTTCCTCCATGGCAAGAGAACTTGAGCTCACCTCTCCAAGAAGCCTGGTCTGGCTAGGTTAGATCACTGCTTCCACACCTACCTACATGGCGGATGTCCACCAAGGCCATGAAACTGCCAGAGAGGGCTGGTGTGATAATACATTGTCACCAGGGCTGTCCCATGATATTTAACCAATGGTTCCTCTCCTCATGGGTGCTGGTAGCACATTGAGGTCATTTTTGTAGTGCTCAAACCAACAGCCACTGTACCAAGAACCGTGAGACCCTTGATCTTCCCTGGAGGAGCTTCGTTGTTGCTGCTTTTCTTTTCTTTCTTTTGGTACCTGGGATTGAACTCAGGACCTTGTGCGGCAGGCTCAGTGCCACTAAGCTAAATTTCCGGCTCACTGCTGCTTTTCTTGGGAGGAGTTTCACTGTTTTCTTCCTTCAGGGGAGCTTCAGTCCTTGTCTTTGTCTTGGTCCTCATCTCCTGGCTTCCGGTGCAGGTCCCTCAGCCTCTGACACAGACTCTTCAGCTTCCAGCATGGGCCCTTGGGCCTTTCCAGCGCAGATCCTTCTGTCTCCAGATACCGACTCAGATGGGACATTGCCGTGGGCTCCAGGCCTTCAGCTGGGTCTTTTGGGGTCTCCAGGGTGCAGACAGATGTTTTGCACTCTTCCAAATCTGACTGTAGTAAGCACTGACTAATACAGTGTTTTAACCATAAAGAAAGGATAAGTGTATGAGGAGATGGAAATGTTCGATTTAAACATTACACAATGTGGTGAAACATCACGTGGTGCACCATTAACATGTGTAATCTTTGTTTTTGTGTACCAGTTAAAAATTAAAAAGATTTCTTAATGTTTTAAGAGCCCGTAAAGACTTTTGAAGACATTGGTTTAATTTAGAATTGGAAATCAGTAAGGGGGGGGGTTTGAATTAGGTTTTTATTCATATCATGGTTGATATAAGTTCATATCATATCATGGTTCATATTAGGTTGATATTATTCATAGATCTTAGAAGGGTCTTAAGGTCAATGTACATATCTTTCAGCTGGGCATGGTGGTACCTACCTGTAATCTTAGCTAATTGGGAGGCTAAAGCAAGAGGATCTTGAGTCAAAGTCAGCCTGAGTAACTTAGTAATATCCTGTCTCACAATTTTTTAAAGGCCTGGGGGTATAGCTCAGTGGTAGAGCACTTGCCTAGCATGCACAAGCCTTGAGCACTGAAAAAACAGAAAGCTCTTTCTAGCTCTCCCACCATGCACATTTGGACACGTGTGTGCCAGGATATCCCATGCTTCAGGATGTGGTCAGCTCTTTTGGGTTGACCTTGGGAAAGTCTGGGGCTGGAGCCAGAGGTTTGGGTCTGGTCCTGTCTGGCCTCTGATACAAATGTGATGCTGTTCAAGTCACATCTTCTTTGGGTCTCAGATTCCTAATCTGTCTCCCTGATGTGGGATTCAGGCTCTGGGTCCCTGAGAGCACACCCAAGATCTACCATTCCTGCTCACAAAGGTCAAGAGCCTCTTTTCTGCTCTTCTTTGACCCAGCATGGTCCACAGAACTCACAGGAGCTGTGGGTCCAAGTACCTCTGTGTATTGCTCTCAGCTCTTTCAGTTACCAGACATCAGACCTTAGAGGGTTTTGTTCATCTTATGAAGCCTCAGCAACATCCTCAGCCCCCCAGGATTTGTAATGATCACTTTGCGTGGAAACCATCTCACACAGTGGTCCCTGCATTTAGCAAGCACAAATGAGTCAAAGAATACCAAAATATCAAGATGTGCTCAGTCCTTTCTCTGCGTCCTGCTCAGCATGCTCTGGTTACATTCTACTTTAGCTGAAGCCAGGCATGGTGGTGCACACCTATAATGCAGGCTCTCTGGGAGGCTGAGGCAGGAGGATGGCAAGTTCAAGCCCAGGCCGGGCAAATTAGCAAGTAGGCAAGACCTTGTCTTAAAATAAAAAATAAAAGGACTGGGGATGTAGCTCAGTGTGAAGGCCCTGGATTCAATCCCTAGTGCCGCAAAGCAAGCAAGCAAACAAAATAATCTGAGCCGACACCCCCTGCATGGAAGACTTATCTGCAAAGATGAAGAAAGTAGAGGGAGAGAGAGAGAAGGAACTGTGCGGATCAAGGTGGCTGAGGCAGGTAGAACACGGGCTCACCTTTACTTACTGCTCTGATGCCGCAACCCAGGTCCCTTTACACTTCCAGCCCCGGTCTCTCGTCCCCATCCCCTGCCCCAGCTCTTCCTCCTTGCTTTCCCAGACTGATGTTGCCTCCTACTTACCTTTCGTTAGTAATGCCCCCATGTTCCCTAAAGCACTCATGGAAGTGAGACAACAGAATGACTATTGCTGCTGCTACTCTTTCTGCTCTCTTGTATTGTGCAAATGCTGTTCTAAGCACTAGGCACCCCATGTGCCAGTCCTTCCTTCTTTCCTTCCTTCCTCCCTCCATCCCTTGTCTCCTTTTTTCCTTCTGGGGATTGAGCCCAGGGGTGCTCTACCACTGGGCTATATACTTAGCCCTTTTTAAAATTTTGTAACACGGTCTTACTAAGTTGCCCAGGCTGGGCTAAAATGGCAATCCTCCTGCCTCAGCCTCACAAAGTTGCTAGGATTACAGGCATGTAGCATGAAGACCAGCACGATATTACCTATATAGAGTTATAGTCTATGTAATAGGTATTATTATTAATAATTTATAGAAGAGGAAGCTGAGACAGAGAGCTTCTCCCTAAGCTGGGATTTGTCTCCAGCTGTCTGATTTCAAAGTCTATGCTCTTGTGTAAGAAGAGCTACTCCACTACGTATTCCTAGAATCTGTTTGCATTTTCCCCACCCACAAGAAAGAGAAGAGAAAGAAGCAGACTTCAAAAGTAAACACAGAGACAAAGAGGTGCCAAACCAAGTGAAGTGTGGTGGCAAACACCTGTAATCCCAGCACTCTGCAAGGCTAAAGCAGGAAGATCACAAGTTTTGAGTCCAGCCTGGGCAACTTAGTGACTTAACAAGGCCCTATCTCAAATTACATTAAATCAAATTAAATTTAAAAGGCTAGGTATGTAACTCAGTATGAAGGCTCTGGGTGCAATCCCAGTACCACCAAAAACACACATCATTAACAACAACAATAAAAGTGGTACAGAACCTGAAAGAGGCAACAGCAGAGGCTGTGTGAGGATGAAGTGTACAGCTGGTGGGCAGTGGCAGACAGATGAAGAGCGAGGACATGAGGGCTGGGGATTTAGCTCAGTGGTTTCGCTGCCTGCTGCACAAGTGCAAGGACCCAAGTTCGATCCCTGGTACCAAAAAAAAAAAAAAAAGCTCAAGGACCTGAGTTCAATCCCCAGTACCAAAAAAAAAAAAAAAAAGAGTGAGGACATATACCATGCATCACCGGATGGTACAACCACAGCTTAGTGGCTTACCAGGCTTTGGGCTACAAAAGTGGAGCTGGATGGAGAGGGATTGAGAAGGAAAGATTAGGGGGCAGGTTGGGGTTTCAGACCCCCATCAGCCTCCTGACCCTGAGACTCCTCCCTTTTAGGACTTTTCTCTGAACTTCAAACATTGGTTTTAGTTGGTTGCTTCTACCAGGAGCTTTGAACTCAATCTCTAACATACCCCACAAAGAGCCATCTTCCTTGTTATGTCTGGATGGGAATACCAGGGTGTGTAAGATTAATTTAAAGATGTCCAGATGCAGGACCACCATACCCTGAATCTCAACCTTCTTCAACTCTCAGCTCTTTGGTTGGTCAAGCCCACTGCCCACCCTTCTGTCCTGGAGGGAATACAATGACTCACGAGAGAGGGAGAGGTCACACTGGGATAGAGGAGGAGGTTAACTGGATTCTGGAGCCCCCATAGCTTTATGGTCTTGCCCTCCAATATCTTAGGCCTCAGTCTTTACTTGCAAGTCAGACAAGAACCTGGAAATGCCATGCTCACCCACTTCTCCCTGATCTTACATGTACTTCTCCAATATCAAAATGTTCATTTCCTACCTGGAAATTTACTCATTCTTAGAGGTCCAGATAAAAGGCTAACACCTTTGTAAACAAAAATATAAAGAAACAGAGTCAACTGTAGGATCTTAGAGAAAATGAGAGCAGACTATCTCTACTACATCTTTATCCCTTTTCTACCCTGATCATCCAACTTCTATTCTCAGTAAGGAGGGGGCACTTACTCTAATAAGAAAAGAGTTACTAATAGGTTTCCTAGGGCCCACTTATGGGTCTGACTTGATTCAAAGCCCCAGAGCCTCATTAGCAATATTCTTCCCAACTCTGCTGTCTAAGGACCATGATGGTCTCAGAAGACTGGGGATTGAGGGATGAAGAGATGACTTGGGAAATCTGAGCTTCAATATCCTGGGAGAGTCTGAAACTTTGGGCCAAGGAGACAGGAACCCATTTCCCTGCAATGACAATGGGACTGTCTACAGCAAG